CCCCCGCTTGTTTCACAATCTGTCAGTCAATAAAAAAGTACACAGACTCCTTCGCTACTATCATCTATATATGCAATATATATATACACACAGTATATATGACACAAACAGCTTCCAAAAGAAGCTGCTTAGAACTAAAATTCCAGGTGGAATAAAACATAATAAAGCTCACCGACTGTAAAAAAAAAAACAATGACACCAATGTATTTAGTGTTTGTGATGCCATCGGTCACCAGGTCCTCTTTTTTTTTAACGTTAAAATAAACATTTGTATATTCATTATTTTATACATATTTAGTTTGCATTATTAAACTCGCTGTCACTTTTTTGCCTGTGTGATACTACTGTAACTCTAATTTCCCTTCAGGAATTGTTCCAAGGCATTAACAAAGTCATATCTAATCTAATTTGTTTTGTAAGTAAGTCTATAAACTTTATTTATATAGCACTTTTCACATTATTAGCATTTTGCAAAATTTTTTTCCCACTGCTGAGATGAACAGTTATTAAGTTATTTGCTTGTGAAGTAACAGGAAGTGATGTCAAAGGGAAATGCCTGCATGGAACAGAGCGTTGATAAAATAGCTAACGACACAGACTGTAGATCTGCTGTTTCTTTACATTATTTTGAGTCACTATCAGAGAGAGATGACTATGACTCAGACTTCATATAATATTGTTTCGATAAAAAAAACTAGAGAGTTCTCTTTCTTAAAGAGTTCCCCTTTGATGTCACTTCCTGTTTCACTTTGGCTGAGCCGAGTTCAGAAGAAAACATGCCATTTATGTAACAAAAATGGGCAAAATCACGTTTTATGCAAGTTTTCTTATATAAAAATATGTTTTCTTTGACTTTTTGTATTCGATGGACAGGCATGTCACAGGCACTTTAACAGAGAGCAAACTAATTAAAAACAATAAAAACAGGTCACAGATATAATGAAGAATAATTTAAAAATCCTGTAAACATAACTTAACTAAAAGCCTGTCTGAATAAAAATGTCTTAAGATGTTTCCTAAGAGAGTCAGTGGAATCGGAGCAGCAAAGGGACAGAGGGAGAGCGTTCCAGAGCCTTTTCACTGCAGTAATGTTTGCACAGTTAGCCCWCGCTTGTTTGGAGCATTCAAGTCATGTGATTCAAAACAGCCAATCGCAGYAAGTCTTGCAAACACAGAATTGTTWCCTCCAATCACCACCAYTCATATGCTGTTAATTTAAATTTTACTGTTTCATTTTATTTTATGAGACTTTAAGTGACACTCCCATCAAAAATTTAACAAAATATATATAATTCTTTATTTCCAGTAAGTAGCCACGCACCCTGCCCTAATATAGCCACGCCCTTGTAGTGAAACTATATTAACTCTGCAGCGGCAGATCTTTTACGTACACAAAGAAAAAAAAATCTGATTCTTTCAAGTTTTTATTTCCACACCTGTTACGACACGCTTCAGATCTTTCCTTTTATCAGATGGCAGTCGTCTTGCTGGAGGACGACTCGCTCGTCCACCTCCATCATGTCTTCATACAGCACATCAGGCATTGCAACTTCCTGTTTTACAAGTGACACGTTTCATGCACAGACGATGAAATAACAAGAGAAACATGATTTTAAATAAAGGCATCGTGTATGCTGAAAGTTAAAGCAGGAGGGTTACGTTTTAATGTTAATCAAATGACATTAAATAAACTTTCTGTTTTTGTCTATATTTCTTTAACCGTCTGTTTAAATCAGGGGTGTCAAACTCCAGTCCTCGAGGGCCGCTATCCTGCATGTTTTAGAGCAGGGGTGTCAAACTCCAGTCCTCGAGGGCCGCTATCCTGCATGTTTTAGAGGTTTTCCAGCTCCAACACACCTGATTCAGTGATTGAATTAACTCTTCAAATTGGGCAGAAGCCTGTTAATTACCCAGCGATCAAAATCTGGCGTGATGGAGCAAGAAAACCTCTAAAACATGCAGGATAGCGGCCCTCGAGGATAGGAGTTTGACACCCCTGGTTTAAATAGTTAACAGGACAACTGGTCTGGGAGCAAACTCCAGTTTCTGAAACACAAGCTAATGAATAAACCAACGCTGCAAAGACACATGAACAACTGTGGTCCACATGCAGACTTAGTGAGAGGAGATAAACAAAGAACCAGAACAAAAACTACAGACCAAGTCAAACAGCTCGGGTCTGGCTTCTGTGCCGATGTGCAGCAAGTCCTTGAAGCCCCTCGTGACCAGGAGCGCCATCCTTTCTCCCCGCCTCTCCAGCAGCACATTGGTCGCCACCGTGGTGCCCGTTCTGATCCAGCCAATCAGAGAGGAGTCTACAGGCTGGTGACGAGGGAACACCTGTCCTGTTTCCTGTAAGAGGAGAAACAGGGTTATATTAAAAACAAAACAGGAACATGATCATCTACCACCTACCTCCTTCAAGACTCTGCGGATCCCCTCAGCGGGGGGGGGGGCGTCCTTGTAGTTCTGGGGGTCTCGCGACAGCAGTTTCAGGACCCTCTCGCGGCCATCGGGAAGCCGGGCGAGCACGTCTGTGAAGGTGCCGCCGCGGTCGATGGCGAAGTCGAACTTCCCCGCAGTTTCAGCCATGATGAGGAGGAGCGAGGAGGGCTGCTGCAGGAGTCGGAGAGGCCGGGAGAGGAGGAGGGATGATCCAGCTACACATTTTAAATAAAACAAGCTCATTACTCATCAAAATGTAGCTATTTCTGCCTTCTTTCACTTAGCGCGTCTCTCATAGACTCGTATTTTAGCCAAAAACACTATCCTCCAGACTGGAAGTGAAGTGTTTTTGTCATAATTTCTACAGAAAACAGTAAAAACACGGGTGTGACGATCAGGGTGAAGAGTTTTAAAGACCTGACTGGCAGCAGTTTTTTAAAGTTCCTGGTTCTGTTTAACACAGATTCTCATCTTCAGATGTCAAAATGTGTTGCAAAGCTTTATTTATTTTGGTAAATGTTTTTTTTTTTTTTTTCATAATTTATTCAACCACCAGTCCTCTTTGGGCTGTTGTGTTCTTTTGCCTAGACGCCACACTTTCTAGGTTTTGAACTTCAGCTGCACACACGCACGCACACATTCCCGCGCCTTCTCCCCACAACTGTTGCACGACTTTAAAACCAAATGAAGACATGATTAGTAGAAGGAGCAGAGTGTTAACAACACGTGACAGCAGAGAGAGTAAACTGAGGTGTATTTTTTCCCCCCGTCCTGGATAAGCAGCAGCGACACGGTTTACTCACTTGTATCCACCCGTCTCTGCTGCTGGCCGGCTGTGTGGCAAGCTGATAATCCGATGGGAGCCTGGTGATCTGGTTCTCTCTGTTTGGTTCGGTTCGACTGCGAGACAAACACGGCGACACCTCACAACAACTGAACACGTTCTGCGCATGCGCGCTGTTGCCACTAGCAATTTGCTGACGTCATAGCATACGTCATGATAAAAAAAATTATTTGCATACGATTATTCATTGCTGACTAGATAACTGCAGACAGAAGATTTCTTAAAGAAAGGTTTACAGAATGGATTCAGAAATAATCGATAAACCTGGACCCTCGGAGGCTGCCAGGGTTTGTCATGAAGGTACTGAAAACGTTATTGATGATAAGAGGCCTTTAATTTATGAAATAGTTCGTGATTTAATGCTACGTGTAGGTGTTGTTTATGATTACGATACTTGCTCAGCTGAACTGAGAAAACTCATTAGTAATATTGTGAACAAAGTTAGAGCTAACCTTCTAATACCTACAAATCTTTTTTTGAACGTAAGAAAAAAACATGCACTCCTTTGGAACGTTGTAAGCGATCTTAACAATTTTTGTGACGCTAATGAAATCTGTAACTACATTTTAAATGAAGATGAAGGAATTATATCTAAAATAATCGACACGGTAACATTACATTTGTCAAGAAATATTGAAGAATTTGACCGAATGTACATTCTACCTGGACCCTCAAACACAGTCAGGGTTGATTCTGATTTCAAAATTAGAAGGAGAAGATTTGCAATTAGAAGTCTAATGAAAAGGCATGAAAACCTTAAAAAAATGAGAACTCTATTAGAATTCTTAACTGAAGATGACTTGAATGAGGACAATTTCTTGGACATGGACTTTGATTACGATCCAGTTGGACTCTCAACTAAACTTCACTTGTACAAGGACAAGTTCTTGAACATGGACTTGGATAATGATACATCTGGACTCTCAACTAAACTTCACTTGTACAAGGACAAGTTCTTGAACATGGACTTGGATTACGATACAGCTGGACCCTCAACTAAAACTGACTTGTACAACGTTGTTATGGATTACGATACAGCTGGACCCTCAACTAAACCTGACTTGTACAACGTTGATATGGATTACGATAC